AATTTCTTGTAACCAGGTGTGGTGATGGATATGAACTAGACTTATTGTGATCATTATTTCACAATACACAAAGACTGAATCATTTTATTGTGCACCTGAAACTAAAATGTTATATGCCAATTATACCTCAATAAAAAATAAATAAGAAAAATAAAAACAGACCAAGAGTACTTTGATAGAGCATTAAAAATACCAAAAATAGCAACATGACTAATTGCCAAAAGCATGGTAAAATGATAGGTACCTAATCAGAGCTTATGAGAGAGAGAGAAATGTTTCTTGGAAAGTGTAGTGTAAAATATAACAGGTAGAAATATTTCCAAAGAAATTACATAAATCAGCTTTAGTTGCCCTTTATATATATCTGCACTATCAATTTACACAAAATTTTCCCTTAAAATAAGTTTTACAGAATACGAGTAATTTAAGTAACACAGTAAGCTCAGCATTCTGCAAAAATACAAAAAGAATCATCTCTAGTTCCAAAAATCACGCCTCTACCTACAAATTAGCCACAATTAGGTGTGCTGACATAAGCATATTGCACTATCAAATACTGGAAATTCTGCAAGAATTAAAATGTTATGAGTATAGGGGAACAAGATAATCCAAACAAACTGGACATTCTTAAAAGTCATTATCCACAACATCTTGAAAAACCCACACAAAGTATCTATGGCAAAGAAAAAAGAAATTCCACCCAAGACCAATAAATGGATACTCCAGCATCATACCTTAGGGAAAAAAAATGCTGGAAGAGCTATCCATATAAGAATTTATTTTTGGATACCTAGACAGACTTTAATGCCATATTCAAAATGAAAAATAAACATCCAGCCACAGAAAAATATCATATTGTGACAGAGAAACTAAAAGAACCCCATGAAAAATTGCTTTATTCACTCTTTTTCCTGCTTCCACTCTTGCTGATACCTGCACCTCAGCCCTTACACACGCCATATAGAACACAGAATAGATGTCCTGCTCGTAAAGGTCAACTATTTAATGATTTCTTTGGACTCTTCGAGCACAATAGATAACATCGAAGAAGTTACTACTGGGCAGGGTCATCATGAACATTTTCTAAGACCACTGACTCCACAAGACCCTTTGCTGCAGGGCACAGATGATTTAAGGAGAATACCTAAATCCTATTCTTTGTTCCCAGATTATCAAGAAGACATGGATACCAACCACCAACCTCAATAAAAATTCCAGGCTCCAGGCAAAGACAAGACTCACTCTTCCTTCCTTTCTCAGTCCCCCAGAAGCTCTGTCAGTATCTACATTCTCTCTATACCTGCAAAAAACTCTGCTCTCACCTTCTCTTGACTCCAGTTTGATTTTTATCCTGCATGAAATTAAGGCCCCTCTTGGCTGGTCCTGTGGAAACCTCCCTCTGGGTCCTCAGACCCAAGCAGTCTGCATCAGTATCACAAAGATAATATTTAAAATTCTGAGATCAAAAGTTCTACCTCTTTGCAATGGTATTAAGCTCAGTACTTGGACTATTATCCCCTAACTTTCACTTATTATATTCTAATTGCTACCACCAAATACACAAAGTAAATATAACAAGAAGTATAATTCTCCTGTTCATTTTCTGAATGTCTTAGAATACTTGCTGTTGCAGCAGGAAATATTTAATAGACATTTTTCGATTTCGGCTTTAAAAAATAGTCTACTTGCTAACTAAGGTCTGAAATATCCATCATTATTCAAACACAATCACAATTTCCTTTCCAATTAAATACAATGTATAAATATATATGCCACATGATGTATTTTCAAATAGGTTCCTTTTTTTACAGTTATGGGAGAAGCCAAGAGAATTAATCCATTAAAAAACTTCAAAATCATCAGAAGTTTAGCAAGATATACACATTAAAAATCAACAAGACAGGGCCGCCTGGGTAGCTCAGTTGGTTGGGCGACTGCCTTCAGCTCGGGTCATGATCCTGGAGTCCCGGGATTGAGTCCCACATCGGGCTCAGCTCCACGGGGACTCTGCTTCTCCCTCTGACCTTCTCCCCTCTCATGCTCTCTCTCACTGTCTCTCTCTCTCAAATAAATAAATAAAATCTTAAAAAAAAAAAATCAACATGACAAAAAACTGCCATAAAGAGATCATATAGAAATAGTTTTAAGAACTTTACTTTTTCTGTCAGTAAGGCATTCCTTTACCTAAATTTCAAATACTGTGAAAAAGCTGAACCAATAAGATGAATATCTCCACCTACATTCAACATTGTGAATCTTCTGCTATAAATGTTATGCTACCTCTTCCCTTTCCCTTTATGTATCAATTAATTTTATTTTTGGGAAATCCCCATGTAATCAAATACATTAACAGTTCTAAAGAAAAACAGATGACACTAAGTCAGTTAAATACTATAAATACCCATATCTAAATTCAGTTCCACTTGCCACTGAATGGGTTCAGACAAATCAGGTGTTATTCCAAGTGAGAATTTTTTAATATTTTGGCTTTCAAAATTAAAATTTTAAAATGTAGATAAAGGATGGTGGGCTGTAGTTTAATCCCCATGTTACAGAGGAAACTGGAGCATACAAAGGGTCAATAATTTATTAAAGACTAAAACAAGTAGCAAAACCAAGTACAATGAAAACAGGCAATCTGGGTGCCTGAGTGCCTCAGCTGGTTGAGCGACTGCCTTCAGCTCAGGTCATGATTTTAGAGTCCTGGGATTGAGTCCTACATCAGGCTTCCTGCTCAGCAGGAAGTCTGCTTCTCTCTCTGACCCTCTCCCCTCTTACGCTCTCTCCTGACTCTCTTGCTCTCAAATAAATAAATAAAATCATAAAAAAAGGAAAAAGAAAACAGGCGATCTACTCCAGACCCCATACTTGTAATCCCAGCTCCAGGAAGCCTCCAATCCAACAGGAAATCCTCGTGATTTTATCTATCCAGAATAATTCCATAACCCCTAATTCCAATGCTGCCCTAATCTGAGACGCCATCCTCTCTCACTGGGTTTACTGCACTAGCCTGCTAACCAAGCTATCTGATTCTTCTATCCATTTAACGAATAGTAAGAACTAGTGTTCTTTAGCCTACAAGAAACTCCAGGTTCTGTACCCTCTCATCTATTTTCCATCAATGACCTCCTCTACTTCTCTCCCCTCTCTCACACTGCCAGCACACGTCCTTTGTGCTGCTCCTTGTCCCCAGGCATGTTCTCCCTTACAGCCTTGGCACTGACTAGTCCTCCTGCCTGGCACACAGTTCCTTTTGTATCTACATGACCACCCCCTCCCTCTTGCAGTATCATTTCCAATGAGGCCCTATACTGTAAACTTTATTTAAAATTGCAACTGCCCCCCACAAAGTAACTGGCTCTCCAAATCCCCCTTTCCTGCTCTAGTTTTTCTTTTTAACATTTACTATCTTCGAACATTCTAGACAATTCACTTATTTTTTATTTCCCTATCTCTTATGCTCTTAGATTTTACATGTATACCAATACATCCTAAGCCCTTAAAAAATCATCTAGTACATAGTAAATGCTGAAAAATAATTATTTCCATTGAGACTTTTATGTCAACTTCAACCCAAATACTTTGAGTTATACTTGTGTACATCTCTTACAGTTGTTAGCATTTCTCAGGATCTCACAAAAAGTTATAATTTCAAAAAAATGCTTAAATTACATTTTTTAACAGCCAAGTCTTGCATGCTCATGCTTTTACTAAGATTCTTTATGTAGAAATATACTTTATAGACATGGAGAGATGTTCATGACATCACTCAGAGAAGACAGGCAAGAAAGAGTATATATAGTATGATCACTTATATATGGAAAGAGTATGTATTTGCATTTACAGGTTTTTCTTGTATGATGACATTAGGTATTTTTAAAACATTTCTCCTTTCTGTATATTCGTATTTTCTAATTTTTTCAATAATGAATATGTATTATTTATCTGATTAACAAATAAATACACTTCTTTGCCCCCCCAAAATTATCTTCACAATATAATTACCAGCTAAATTCTCACTCTTGCTCTATGAATAAAATATGTATTCACTGTTAATAAAACTGTTTTATAAATGCAATCTAGATATGTGCTATGAATGTAATTTAAGAGACTATCTACAGCTATTTATCTAATTACTTTCTTTATACAAGGGATGATGTGGCTAATTCTTTTGTTTATACAGACAGTAATGTGGCACAAATGTGCTAAATATTACCACTACATCAATATATCTATGGGAAATCCACATATTCAATCTAACTTTCAGATATTAACTTTGAAATACTCTTTTCAATGGCAGTACTTTTAATAGGCTTTTATATTTGCAGTATAAACTTATAAACATTTCTTTTTTTATCTTTAAAGTTAGAAGCACAAGTAACATAAATATATTCAACTTGAACTTTGGTTATTGTTGCTGTGAAAAGTATTAATATTTACTTCAACTGTTCCCTGTTTCAAAAGTATTTAAAGTAATGTAATTAACAAAGTAAAGCTATGGATTTAGAAAAACTGTATTCTGTATTTTACACGTCCCGTTTTTTTAAAAACACATCCTTAAAGGCTATTACTATTTTGCTAAAGGAAAATCAACAAAAGAGTTACTTTAATGCCAACTCTTAATTTAGAAAATACATTCATTTTTCAGAAAGGTTTGGAATCCTTGCTTTAACTTTTAAAATGTACACATAATAGTATTAACAACTCTAAGACAAGCTTAATTATGATCAATTACTTTCTTTCCAAACAAAAAACAAATTCAGTTATTGTCTATAAAAGGAAACCTAAATTGGTTTGTAATACTTTTCCATGATCTTAAATCTAGAAAGAAAATATTATTTTTTTAGTATTTATATATATTTATATCTGAACTTCTTTGAAATGAAATTTGACTTAGGTTTTTCCAAACTTAAATTCCATTCAACAATTTTTTAAAATTATTGCAAAAACTTTACAAAAAAATAAATTCACAAGGGTATTTAACATGAAAGTTTACATACCTTGGCTTCCGAAATGCTAGACTATATTGCTGGCAAGCCAGACCCACAGTGGGGGTATAAACAATAGGCATGAATTTCTCAATGTCAGACATTAGCACACTATAAAAGAGCTTTTCATTTCTGTCCTGAAGATCCATTAAAAGTAGATACCTGTGGAAATTGGACATAATGAGATCTATATTCCCAAAAGTCATGAAACAGATGCTTAGAAATATAAACATTTTTCAACAAAGTATTTTTTACGTCACATAGAAAACAACTGATCAAAAAAGACTTTAGAAATATTCTTAAACACCTCAAAGAATGAAGAACCATAAACCTGAGCAACTGTCATTCAAACTTTAAAATCATTGCTAAAACAACACAGTTTTATGTAATACCTGGAAAGACTTTATCCCTATTTTAAATTGAAAATACCATTAGGGATATAATTTAAACATTAACTTAACTAAGTAAATAGACTTCATCCTGTAACTTGTAATACTGAATAACCAAGGGAAATGACAAGTAGAAAATAAGGAATTTAGTACCAACCCTAAAAATTACTAAAGTAGGCAAGTTCTTATTGTTTGTATCAAAAGGGCTTTTTCTTTCTAGAGGCATTTCTAACCCAGAGTTCTCTTTCTAAACATCAACCTTATCATGTTACCTGTAACCTTTGATAATTCATAGAATAAAACCCAAACTGCTCACTACAACTTAAAATAGTCTTGCAGAATTGTACTTAATCTTACTAGCCTTTTTAAGTTGATTTCCATTCCCTGGAATAGTTGAAAATGCACAGAATGGAGAGTCAGAGATACAAGGATTCTAATGTTTGGCAAACAGATGGGTTGTACCAAACCCTTAAACATTTGGGAAGATGATGACTTTCAGGCATGTTAAAACTGATTTAGTAATGTGGAAATCATCATTTCTAAATCAATAATCAATTCTCAGACCTCATCTTATTTTACCTGTCAAAACAATGACACAGATGCCCTTCCTTGGAGCTCAATACCCCCTTTTTGCTTGTCTTCTGGGCCATCATATTTTTCTTGATTTTCCCTCTGTCTCATTGGTCATTCCTTTCCTGTTTCTTGGTTGCTTCCTCCTCTTTTCTGAAAGCTCTCTAACGCCCATATCTAATATATAAGGAAAGTAGGTTGGCTTTACCTTTAACATATATCCAAAGTTTAAACACCTTCATTGCTACCATCCTGGGTCTAACCTCTTACCTGGATTAATGTGATAGTCTCCTAAATATTCTTCCAGCCTACATTCTATTCTTAACATTGCAGACAGTCTTCTTGAAATATAGGTCAGATCATGTTGATCTTCTGTTCAAAACCTTGAATAGTTTCCATTTCACCCAGAATAACAACAAAGTCCCTTAGTGGCCTTCAAAGCCATTCATAATCTGTCTTCCCCACTTCCCCTCCCAACCTACCATTCTCCCCTGCCTCATTCTGCTCCAGACACAGCTCTCTGCTGACCCCTGAACACACTAGCTGCAGAACACTGTTCCTCAGATTTCCTCATGGTTAATTACCTCACTGCCTTTGATGATTTGCTCATGAATCATTTTCTCAATGAAGTCTTCTCCTGATTGATATAACAATATAACAACACAAACTGACCATCCCAACCCTCAGCATCACCATCCCAACCCTCAGCATCATCATCCCAACCCTCAGCCCTTCTTATCCTACTTTTTTTTTTCATCAGCACCTGTCAATTTTTAGCATATTAACTTACTGTTTTACTACTTAGTATTTAATAATTTTTTAAAATAATTTACCTAAATTCCATGAAGGCAGAGACCATGGTCTATAATCCCAATATCTTAAAGAGCACCTGACAGTTAGTCAGTTGATGCTCAATAAATATTTGAGGAATAGTCTGTGGTAAAACATGAATGTGACCAGCACTTAGGAGGTAGAGGTAAACGGCCCAGGAAAAGAATATAAAGTGAAAACACCAGAGTCTGAAGGATAGACTTATGGAACAAATGAAAAGGAGTATAAAGGAATTTAAGAAGCAGTAAACATATACATTAGGCAAACAGGTCAGCCTCTTTCCCCAGCTGCCTCTGTCTTCACTAATGAAAGGTAGCCATGGCAGGGGTGGAGGTTATCCATGGGCTCAGCAACATGGACTTCCACTCACCAAAGCCAACCTCGCTATTGATACTCCTGAACACTCCATCTGCAAGAACAGACCAGCCAGTGCTGAACACCTGATACGGCACCATGAGGGGTGATCAGCAATCTACCTGGTGGCAGGTAGACTACTTCCCTCATGGAAGGGGTGGTGTTAGTTCTTACTGGAATAGATACTTACTCTGGTTACAGATCTGCTTCCCCTGCAAACAATACTTCTGCCAAAACTACAGTCCAAGGATTTACAGAATGCCTTAAACACCATTATGGTATTCCACACAATACGGCTTTTAACCAAAGAACTCAGTGGGCCCATATTCATGGAATTCACCATGTTTCCCACCATCCTGAAGCAGCTGGCTTGACAGAAGAGCAGAATGGCCCTCTGAAGACTCAGTAATAGCACCAGGTAGGTGGCAACCTACAGAGCTGGGGCAAGGTTCTCCAGGATGCTGTATATGCAGAGAATCCGTGTCTGCTATATGGTGCTGTTTCTCCTACAGCCAGAACTAAGAGATGGAAATCAGAGTGGCACCACTCCCGATGACCCCCATGACCCACTGGCAAAATTTCTGCTCCCTGTCTCCATGAACTTACGCTCTAATGGCCTAGAAGTCTTAGTTCCAAAGGGAGGAATGTTTCTACCAGGAGACAATGACTCCACTGAACTGGAGGTTAATACTGCTGTTAGCCACTTTGGCCACCATACGCCTCTGAATCAACAAGCAAAGAAAAGAGTTACTGTGCTAGATGGGGTGACTGATCCTGACTACCAAAGGCAAGCTGGACTGCTACTTCATCATCATCATCATCATCATCATTAGTATTAGTATTATTTAAAGATTTATTTATCTTAGAGAGAGAGAGACAGAGAGAAGAAGAGACAACACAAGCAGGAGGAAGGGCAGAAGGAAAGAATCCTCAAGCAAACAGCCAGCTGAGCAAGGAACCCCATGCGGCGCTCGATCCCACGACCCTGAGATCATGACCTGAGCTGAAACCAAGAGTCGGCTGTTCAACTGAGTGAGCTACCCAGGCACCCCATCCACTCCATTTTTATTATTAATCTTCAACCCCCAGCAAAAAGGAATGCCTTTGGACTGGACTCCCTTTGGACTGGAACTGCAACTCATCCCTTGGTTTCCAGCCTGCCACTCCACCTACAGATTTAGGACTTACCTAAGCTCCATAATCATGTGAGCCAATTCCTTAAAAATAAGTAAGTAAATAAATAATCAGTCAGTCAGTCACTCAGTCTCTTTACATAGAACCAGCAGGATATGTGTATATTTTGGTCTTTTTCTCTGGAGAACCCTAATACAAATACTTACTAGGCATGGGTTTGTTACCTCTTCCAAACTTTGCAATAATATTTTGAAATAACTATTATTTCTTTAAATCCACCAATAAAAAACCTCAGGTTTAGAGAGTTTCAGTGCCTTAATAGAAAAGGGCCAAGCCATAAGTACAGGGCACAGTAGACACCAGTCATGGCAATGGTTGCAATAGGTGGTTTGCTTAAGGCCCCACATGAAACACAACCAGAATTTCAACTGAAGACTACCCAGTTCAAGGTATGGAACAGTATTACCTTCATCTTTGTGCAGACACAGAAACTGAGTTCTAAAAGTAAGTGACCCTGGGGCGCCTGGGTGGCTCAGTGGGTTAAAGCCTCTGCCTTCGGCTCAGGTCATGATCCCAGGGTCCTGGGATCGAGCCCCACATCAGGCTCCCCGCTGAGCAGAGAGCCCGATTCCGCCTCTCTCTCTCTGCCTGCCTCTCCGCCTACTTGTGATCTCTGTCAAATAAATAAATAAAATCTTTAAAAAAAATAAAAAATTTAAAAAAATAAATAAATAAATAAAAGTAAGTGACCCAAATCTGCAGTAGTGTTAGAACCAAGCTTGGAAGTGGGAAAAGTGAGCTTTTATCTCTGATGAACTTAAAGTCTTGACTGAAAGCTGCTATGTCCTGTTTTATTCTGTGTGAAAGGGCATTTCCTGATAACTCACCTTCACAGCAACCATCTGATCACAAGGGAAAAGTAGTCTCTTTGAGGATATATTTAGAAACGAAAATTTTCTATTATTCGAATGTTCTTACCAAGGGTAAATTTTTATTAAAACATCATTGTACTTTTGGGGTGCCTGGGTGGCTCAGTTGGTTAAGTGTCTGCCTCTGGCTAAGGTCATGATCCTGAGGTCCTGGGATTGAGTTCCACATTGGGCTCCCTGCTCAGCGGGGAGTCCGGTTCGTCCTCTCCCTCTGTTATTCCCCCCTGCTTGTGATCTGTCTCTCATTCTCTCTCTCTCAAATAAATAAAATCCTTAAAAAGGGGTTGCCTGGGTGGCTCAGACGGTTGAGCATCTGCCTCTGGCTCAAGTCATGATCCCAGGGTCCCAGGATCGAGCCCTGCATTGGGCTCTCTGCTCAGCTGGGAGCTTGCTTCTCCCTTTCCCCCAACCCCACTCATGCTAGCTCTCTCTCTTACACTCTCTCATGCTCCCTCTCAAATAAATAAAGTCTTTAAAAAAAAAAATACTTAAAAAAAAACATAGTATTTATAGGTAAATTCTCAAACTTAACTACTCTCTCCAAATCACTAAATATTTTAACTTTCTCATCCAATTAGAAAAATAAACTAGACAACTGCCTAAAAGAAATATAAAAATCATCTTCAGGAATGTGTTACCTGTCAAAGTCAGAGGTCAGACGCTCAAAATTTTTAATTACTCTAAGAACCTGGATGTCCTGACTGATGAAGCAAGGTGGCAACAATCCATGAATATTCAACTGCTGTCTCTCTTCCAGGGTAAAAGCCAAGTCCTATGGAGAAAAGAAAAACACAATAATTTGAAGGGAATAAAAACCAAAACCTATATACATATACCTACACATAAAGTCCAACAAATACATGGAATTAAAAATTAAAAATCAGAATTAAAAATACATGGTATTATCTAAACATTGGCCATTCAATTGTGAGATCATGTCATCTCTCAATACCTCAGTTTCTCATCTTTCTTTTTTTTTTTTTTAAAGATTTTATTTATTTATTTGACAGGGACAGATCACAACTAGGCAGAGAGGCAGGCAGAGAGAGAGAGAGAGAGGGAAGCAGGCTCCCTGCTGAGCAGAGCTCCTGATGCGGGACTCGATCCCAGGACCCTGAGATCATGACCTGAGCCGAAGGCAGCGGCTCAACCCACTGAGCCACCCAGGTGCCCCAGTTTCTCATCTTTCAATATTAGAATACAATATTTTCAGATCTGTGTCATTCATATTGTCAGTTTTGAAATTAGGTAATGCAGAAAATGATGTAAAGATACGCAAATGAAAGATATAAATATTAATAATGTTATCCAATACATAAATGAGTTGGAAATATAAGAGATTTTAAAATTATGAACATGAGTAGGTCACCTATAACCTGCTGTGCCTTCCCCTATAAAACAGATTTTAAAATGCCTTACATATGATTGAGGCACCTGTTCCAACACTTGTCTCTCAAATTATCTCCTACTATTCTTTTTTTTTTCAAGTTGATGCTTTTTTGTTTAAGATTCTATTTATTTATCTGAGAGTGAGAGAGGGCGCACGCATGAGAGAGTGCACACACATAAGGGCACAAGCACAGGAGTGGCAGAGGAAGAGGGAGAAGCAGGCTCCCCGCTGAGCAGGGAGCCCAATGCGGGGCTAGATCCCAGGACCTCAGATCATGACCTGAGCCGACAGCAGATGCTTAACTGACTGGGCCACCCAGGCGCCCCATCTTCTATTATTCTTATTATACTCTCAGCTACACAAAATTTTTCACCGTTGCCTGAACACAGCAGTCTTTTACTCTTTCATGACACCATGGACAAAAATGTTTTCCTTGCTTTTCTGCCTTTGAAGTCTAACCTCAAATGCTCCCTCTTCTCTAAAGCCTTTCCAGACTTACCCAATATGCCCATTAGAACCCTGTTATTATTCTATGTTATTTGTTTACAAGAACACTGACTGTTTTATAAAACCTGAGGCTTGAAACCAAGCAATGAAATATAACTGATGGGTGGAATCAAAAATCCAGAATGGACCAAAGAGATTTGCTGGAACATAATGTGAAGGGAAGTAATAGCAGAAAAACCTCAGTAGTCATTAATCTGGGAGAACCGGATGAACAGTTCCCCTGGAGAGGACTCCCCCTGCAGCTACCAAAGCCGGGGGTGTCTCTGAGTAGACTGACGACTGTTCCCCTGGGTCTGGCAATAGTGTGCCAACATGATAATGGTTGTGTCCACTCACTGTAAACGTGCCTGATGCTTCTTAGACAACCAGGATGGTACAACGTGTTCACTAAGTTCGCACTGGGTGCTAACTGATGGGTGATTGCACCCATCTCCTCTGCCCCTGAAAGCTTCCTGCAATGGCAGAAGAGTGACTCCTGAGTATTACTCTGGGAGAAAGACAATTTGGCTCATCCTGGAGGTAGATGACACAACCAGCCTCAGAAGGTAGGTGAAGAAGATCAACAGACAAACCACTGTTTCTTCTAATTTTTTATATGTTTAGGCCCATTAATTCATGTCACTGGCGGAAAGCTTTATGTTTGATTCAACTCCTGGGTCGGGGGCAGCCTGAAGAAAGTCAAATAGATTTGTCCCCTGGGTGACCCCTGGTGGAGCTTTCTAAATTCCAACAAGGGTGAGTTGGGACCAGGGGCTCGAGAACCTCCAGGACAAGAAACTGCTTACAATCTTGACTTCTCAGAAGGTCTCCAAATGTTTCAACACAGGTGGTGTCCAGTTCCCAGTAAAAAATCTCAACAATACATGAACATATGTAAAAAGTAGTAAACTCCTAAATATTATGCCTTAAAAATCTGCCTGCAAAGTAATAATCAAAATTATCAATATTCTGAGAGTAAGGCTTATTATCAAAAGCACTAACATATGCTCCTGCATTCACTTAATACTGGCACTTAATCATTTATTGGTATATTAGTCCTTCTTTTTACATAAATTTCCCATTGTTGGTCTGACCTATCATTCTCCTGTATCTTTTGCCGTGTAAATGACTAGCTATCTTTTGCTATCCTTGGATAGTTAGTAACTACAAACACCTCACACTGTTAGCCAAATAGTCTATGGCATAATAAAGTGTCAGTTCAACTCTTAAATAATAATAACCACCAAAAACAAAAAAAAAAAAAAAAAAAACTTGGAATTAAAAATCTGGGGAACTAGGCCAAGTTATTGGGTCCTATTACTACTCTATGAATTAAAAAAAAAAAAAAAAGTAAGTCAGTGAGTAAGCAAACTTAAAATTTTAAAATCTTAAAATCCCTGAAAACTTAAAAATACATTTGGCATACAAATATGCCAAATACATTATGACTTCCCTTAAACCAGTGTTTAATAATGACACATCAATGTGATTCCTACCAACCAGCAGCTCCCCAGAAATTATTCAGAGGAACAGTAAGTAGAATCTTGAAATATTTAATAATCCTGGCTCTTTCATTTTTTCATACTAACAGAGATATATTCATATATATTTTGCAGAGATCATACACAGTAGCTTAATACATTCTCCTTATTAAACACTAGCTTAATACAGTGAAACACTAGCTTAATACATTTTCCTCATTAAAAGCTGATGTGACAAATATCTGTTTCAAAGAATTTTTACCTCAGAGTTATGCGGTGGGGGTTATCCAACAAAGGATAGTGTATCCAACATATACATGCAGCTTCTAACTTTCATTTGATTCCTTCTGAGTCTTTCATGTCATTCAGGTTTAGACCTCTGTACATATATTAAGTTTCCAGACCACCTATAATTCTAATTCCCTAAAAGCTTTCTCGTACACCCTAGGTTCAAACCTGGTTTTCTCATTTTCTATCTTTCTTTTACTTTCCCTCCTCCTTACAAAACCTTTTGGACTAGATCCCTAGACAGCAGAATGGTATGCAATTTCACCGCAGAGGACAGCACACAGGACAACCATTCTTCTGGGCTCTACTAACTAACTGCTTTATGTATATCTTCTTGAGAAAACGGAGACTACCAAGCAGAAATGAAAACAAAATTCCTGGCATAACAAGAGACCTATATGAGAAATTGTGTTTGCACCTAAGAAACTTTGTCCTGAGTAATTTATCAGAAATGATTACCATAAAAGCAGAACAGATGTCACCTGAACTCCGCACTAACCATCTTTAATGTTTGCAATAAGTTTCAGTAATTTGCCTTGTTTTTTTCCAGAATAAGGACTCAAAGTAATCAAGTGCAATGGCAAAAAGGAAAACGCTGCCTAAATCACAAAAATCTTTAATCTCTATATGAATAATTCATTGTAAAATGCATTTGTTGTAATGTTTCTTTTTATTATTTATTATTCTGAAATAAAGAGATCAAAGTGTGCTTTAGCTTTAAACGTCAATATTTTGAAATGTTTTATAGTTTGTTTTATAGTTTTATAAATATAAATATTTTATAGTTTATGTGCATATTCTATGCCTATAGAAAGAGAAGTTATTCTAATTTGTCTTGGACACATATCGAAGGGTTCTTTCCCCTAAGTCCTCCAGACTGCTAATTATTGTTCTTTGAAATTAGCTGTTTAACTATATAGAAAATGACTTCTAGAACTTTCCTGGGATATGTAACCTCATTTCTTCAAAAAACCAATCAGCCAGATGGGATACACATTTCTAAGGTAAAGTTTTCAAATGATTATTTTGCATGCATTCAGCTGTGCAACCAAATCCTCTAGTGATCGTCTCCTGTAAGAGGCAGAAAATCAATTATTTAAAACTAATAATATATTAACAACAGCTTCTTTAAGAAAAACATTTGGTGTCATTACACAGCAATTAATTTCTACTCATAGTTTATATAGAGTAATTTAAACTGGTAGAAGTAATGATTACAAAAATAAATCTAAAATACACTTGGTCTTAAAGGGAGGGAAAAATAAAATAAGATGAAATCAGAGAGGGAGATAAACCATAAGAGACTCTTAATCATAGGAAACAAACTGAGGGTTGTTAGAGGCAGGGGAGAATGGGGTAACTGGGCAATGGGTAGTAGGCATTGAGGAGGGCACTTGATATAATGAGCACTGGGTGTTTGTTTTTTAAAAGATTTTATTTATTTATTTGACAGAGAGAGAGATCACAAGTAGGCAGAGAGGCAGGCAGAGGGAGGGGGAAGCAGGTTCCCCACTGAGCAGAGAGCCCGACGCAGGGCTCAATCCCAACACCCTGAGATCATGACCCGAGCTGAAAGCAGAGGCTTAACCCACTGAGCCACCCAGGTGCCCCAGCACTGGGTGTAAATGCAACTGATGAGTCACTAAATTCTACCTCTAAGTGTTAATTAATTGAGTTTAAATTATATACAAATATATATATATATATATATATATATATAGATAGATAGATAGATAGATAGATAGTTGGCCCTAGATGCCCTAAAATTTAGAGCAAAATCTCATAACCATAACACCTAGAAATTATTTCATCTAGGTATTATAGGATATTAGCAAGTATAACTATTTTGTAGCTTAAGTGACATGTTTGTTTAATTAATGAAAAGAAAGAGCATCTCTACCTAAGGGAGCAAATGGATTTTTAAAATATTGGATGAGAGGTTTAATTAAATTGTTTAAGTATTTCTCACTTAAAACTTAGCAATTACTAGTCTTTGTAGATTCCTTATAAGGCTGAGAAATTGTTAACCATCAATGTTAATAATACATTTTCCAAACATAGCTCTTAAAATCATTAATAAGATTTTTAAATTCTTGGGGCACCTGGGTGGCTCAGCTGGTTAAGCAT